ACGGAATTTTAGTACATCCCTAAATTAATTTAAGTTAATCTTAAATTCAATGACCCTGTATGTTCAAAAACTAAATTAAATAATTACTGACATCAATCTTTGTCATTAATCACAACGTTTTCTTTTATAAAAGAAAACGTTAAAGAAAAAGTTAATTAACTTTTTTCTTCTTTAATTTTTATTTTAAAACTTTTATTTCTTTTTCTTTCTTTCTTTCTTTCTTTTTTTTTTTTTTTTGTTTGTTTGTTTATTTTATCTAATTTGTTTATGGTATTACCTATAAAGACGTATTAAGACGATCTTATTTTAATGTTAATATTTTTGTAAACATTTATCTTATTTCTTCATTTATACTTTATACTCTTGGAAAAAGTTTTCTAAAAAATATATATTATAACACGGTGCTCGGCAATAAGACAAAAATAATGTCTTCTTCTTGCTCCGGTCATTAATTTTAATTGTAAATTTATGTAGGTTGTAACTTTTCTTCAACGGCAAAATATGTTCACAAAAAAAAAATCTGAATAAGCAAGACTCTTTAATGAGGGTCATTTTCAGTGGCGGATTTAGTATAGGGCGTGGGGGTGGGGGGCGAGCTGCCCCCCACGCCCCCCTAGAACGGTCTAACGGCGCCCCCTAAAACAATTAAAATATATATATATATAAGGTTAAATTACTGAAGGCAACCCCCGTCGCCCCTATTTATTGACTTAGCCCCCCCGCGACACTAAACCTCAATCCGCCACTGGTCATTTTGTAGCTATATTAGTTATAAACATTTGTAAAAAATCTCAAGAAGTTTCATAAGGTATTTACTAATGTAAACTGTCTTTACTAATGTAAACTGTTTTTACTAATGTAAACTGTATAACTAAAACAACAAAAAATATGTTCAGTGAAAAAACAGTTTTAAAAATCAGATATTTAATAACATAAAACAAAACAGAACTAACTCAATGGATCCAGAATTATAGGGTTGGCATCCTTAAATGTCTTTTTTTTAATATAAACTATTTTCTTAGACCTCTTTTTACTTCTTTGTTTTTAAATATTAAATGACTATTGATAATGAACTAAAACTCTATTTTGGCCACTTTTTAATGCATTTTTTTCAAAAGCACTCTTACGTGAAATATTCAAACATTCCAAAACTTTTTCAATATCATTAATACCATCATTAAAATTTATTATGGCAGAACAAATACCAATTTTCAGTACTTTTCTTCTACAATAAGTAAATTTGGGGCAGCGTGTCTAACTAATTCCATTAAAACACTCATTAACATTTTGCGTTTTGTCATGGAGGCTTTTTGAATTTTTTTTTTTTTTTTAGTTATGCTAAGCGCATAAGTAATACTTAAAAAAAAATTGGGAATGAATTGCAATAGAAATAACTTGCAATAGAGGTGTTGTAATTCTATAACATGGTTGCTAAGGGCGTTGCTAAGGGTAAAAACCTATACCAACATTAAGATAAATTAAAATAACTTCAAATTATTTTATTTATTTCAAAAAAAAAAAGCGTTATTCATAAAAAAAAAAAATGAAATCTAATCAGCGCCAAGAAAAGATACCCCTTATAAAATAGGAGGCTTAGCAGAGTTTTTTTAAAATGAAGTCAAAAAATAGATTAAAATAACTTGTTTTTTGGAGAGCGGTACAAAGCGCTAGTGTCGTGGCTCTCTAGCCACAACGTTGGTGATTAGATATATCGTTTGATAAAGAACAGTGATGTAGTAAATTTTTGCTTTACATTACAACCCAAAATTACAAAATAATTAGACAAAAAAACCTAACTTAATTCTTAAATAACAAACAACAACAACAACAAAAAAAAGGCTTTAAATCTACGATTTTTATCTTCAGATTACAACTTAGATTAGTGTTCAGATTAGTATTCTAAAAACATTCAAATTGAAGTTAAGTTAAGAATTAAAGTTAAGATTTTTTAGATATGATACTAGGACAAAGTGTCCCGAATAAATAACTTTCTTAGCAATAAAAATAAAGAACTTGCAACTTCCGTTTAATATCTTTTTAAGATTTTAACTTTATTATTTTATGACCAGATTGTACCACGGTTATTTTTCTTTATAAAATTATTATTTATATCTATTTCATTTGGTCGTGGAATTTGTCGTCTATCAACAATTCCACCTTCATTAGTTTCTCCAATTCGTTTAAAGCCAAATGGATCTAACACGTCTAAAGACTTAGAATGAAAACTATCATATTTTGGAATAATATTATGATGAACTAAAACTGTTACTGTAACGGGTCCTTTTTTTATTTTTCTCATAACAGAGAAATTATTTTTTGCTACATTTGGTTTGTTAAAGACAGGATCTGGCATTTGACCAGATCCTGATGCAGATGCAAAGTCAGCTTCCATATCAGCTAAATGGAGTAAGTTATTATCGATAAGTTTTGATTCTTGTAACAACTGATTTCGTTTTTTTATCTGATCAAAATCGTCAGCAATAACAGAGTTTTCATCTTCGAAAACTCTTCCATTTACAAGTTGATCAAACCCTTCGTTAACTGCGGTAGATTCATTCTTTGTGAAAATATTATACAATTTATTTTCATGAATAAATTCTTTTTGCGGGGCTATTTCATCTTTTTTGAAACCAGTATATTCACCCGGAAGCAAGTGTACTAATAAACGATTTTGATGTTGAATATCTCCTTTCTTTGCATGTTTAAACGATCTAGCTAGGTACTTTTTTTGCAAAAATAAAGGAGCAACAGATCTTCCTGGAGTATCTAAAAAAGTCCCCTCAAACTTTTTTTTTGTATTCCTAATATTCTGCGCTAGATGTTTATTTTTTTCATATTTTGTTTTATTGTTATCATACTTTGCCAATTTTGTAACATTTAGAGAACCTTTAAGTGCAGCGTTTAAATGGTTATTTAAAGAGTTTAAAATTTTTTTAGTTTTAGCAGTTTCAAACCGAGGTAAAGATTTTTTAAAATTATCTTGAGAACTATTTTTTTCTTTCATCATTGCAGAAATTTGCTGATTTAAATTTAAAATGTATTCAATTTGTTTCTTTGAAAATGTATTATCTGAAACTATATTGCTAACAATATTGGTTTGGTTGGAAGTAGTACGAATCGGACTGTTAAATAAAAGAGATTTACGGTTGTTGTGTTTAACTTTATTCTCCATTTCTTTTTGTTTTAATAAAAAGTACTCGTAAGAAGAATCTTTTTTTTCTTTGTTATCAGTAAAAGTTTTTATTTCTGCTTTAACCACTGAATCAACGTTATTATGCAATTTATGATTTGTTTCGTGATTCGTTTCATTTATTATTAAATACTTTGACCGCAAAAACAATTCTTTTTTTGGAGTTTCTTCGTTTTTTTTTAGTTGAAATCTCAAGTTTTTTAATTCCTTATCCATTAACATGACATCCTTCTCAGTTTTTTCTTTGTCATGATATGCAACGTTGGCTGCTTTATCAGCTAACAATGCCTGATTAACAGACGCATGGACGTATTTAATCATATTCTGTAAATTTTTGTTTTTTTTTCCTGCAGCTATTATTCTACGAGCAGCTATCTTTGCTTTTTTTGAGGCAGTTTTAGCCATATCTGCTGCTTCTTTTGCTTCAGTTGCAGCTTTTTGTGCTTCGAGCACAGCAACAATGGCTTTTTCTTCTAAATAGTCAATTGTAGCATTGTTTGGATCAATAGAAAAATATTTGGCAAACTTTATGGCGTTATCAGTAAAGGAAGTAAGAACTGTTGCACCACTAATAACACGTTTTAAACCGTGAACGACTTTTCCTGTATGCCTTAAAACATTTTTTGCTTCGCCTATTACACTTCTAACATCATGCGCTAAATTTTGCATATAACCAGAAAGAGGTTTTGGAGTAGGTTCGAAACTCGATACAGTGATTTCGGGTTCTAATTTTTCAATAGTATTTAAAAGTTCTTGATCGTCGTCAATATCACTGCGTTTATAAACTAAAAACTTCTTTTTTAAATAATTCCTTTTTCTAAGTGATTTATAATCGTTTATATTAAAGTGATGAGAAAAACGTATGTTACCAGTTTCAGGTCGCATAAAGTTGCTGTTTGTTAATTCTTTAGGGTCCATAAAATCGTTGAATGGCGTTAAACCTTTTTTATCGCTCATATATTTATTTTCTTCTATAGAACTGCGGCGCAATTTGTAGTTGTTACTATTTCTTTCAAGGTTTTTATTATCAAACAAATTCTTATATGAAGAACCAAAAATGTTGGCAGATGTCATTTGAAATGCAGGATAATACCTACCATTAGTATAGTTACTAAAAACATTGCGCTTATTATTTATACTTGCTACTTGATTTGAACTATACTCTAGTTCTTTACCTTTAATGACATCGCTGCCTGTTATGTAGTTTATTTCGTCATTATCGAGAAATTTCCTCGGTTCCGCGAAGACTTTTATTTGAACTTGAGAAAAATAAGGTAGTGCGTGTTGTAAAAAAAATGATAGAACCAATATTTTCATGGTTTACATTTAATTAATTTCAATATGCACCACAACATTTTTTAGATATAATTCTTTTTTAAAACGTTAAAATTAAAACGTAAAATTAGAGCAAGTGGTTCAAACCGCGTCTTGCAAAACTAATGGACCTTACGATTATTCACTAAGCACAATTGTTTAGGGTTTTATGCTCATTTAATACGCAAACCAACAAGTACTTAAATTTCAAACGCATTATTAATAAGAGCTTCTTGCAAATTGTCGCCGCTAAAAAAGCATTCAAAGGAAACAACAAAAATAATCCACCCAATAAAAAGACAAGATATATATATATATATATATATATATATATATATATATATATATATATATATATATATATATATATAAATGATGAAGTAAATGAAATACATAACAATGTATTTCATTTTCTTATCACAAAAAAAAAAAAAAAATTCCAATAACTTTATTATTTGAAATTCTCAAAATTAACTAGAAAAAAATAAACTACAAATTGCAATGTTTGCGATGATTTTACATTAAAATATTTAAATGTGTTACACCTGTACTTTTAAAAAAGTTGCTAGAATTGATTTGTTAAAAATTTATTTATTATTAACAACATGGTAATTAGACTTTGAGTTGCCCAGCAATTTGCATTAAAGTTTTAAGACCCGGCATAAATGAACTAATTTCAGAAAAATTTCCTGTAGAAATCATGTGAGTATGAATTTGTATTCCAACGATGTAATTACCAACTTGACAAGCTAAAAAAATTACGAAACATTTTCATCTATCTTTAATGACATAAAAAAAAGGTTTATTAATTATTAGTATTTAATTACTATAAAATTAAAAAAAGATAACCTTTTGAGAATCCAAAACATAATCTCAGTCTTTACTATTATTTACCTTTATAACTTATCCTAACTATCTATATCCAATCAACGGATCCAGGAGTTTTTGGTGGAAGGGTGAGTATGTGAGGAGGGTGGTGGTGAATATAGAAATTTTTTTGTAATTTGTATCACATTTGCGTGTCCTAAAAAAAAAGTCCTGCATTTCTAAGATGCTTCAGGACTTTCATATTCTGGTGGTGGTGGTGGGGATGTATAACCTTATCCACCATCCAACTCTGGATCCGTCACTGCCAATTAAACATAATTATTCTTCTTATAATTAAGTTATATTTTGCTGGTCAAAAAAAATACGGCCGTAAAGTAATACGAAAAATGTAAGACTAATAAAAAATATATAAAACTACAATATATATATACAGTATATACAAAAAATATATATACAGTAATACTTTCAAAAAAAAAAAAAAAAAAAGCGCAGTAAAATTTTGTTGCTTAAAGCATATTTAAACTGACATAAAATAAAAACTTTAGAAGATATTGAAGACATTTTTTTTATTTGCGAGAAAAATCTTTTTTAGACTAATTTTGCATTTTGGATGGCATACTAAAACATAAAATTGTATATAAAAACGTTATCAAACATGGTAACAAAAAATACCAATAAAAATTGTCTAAAAAATTAAAGCAACAAAAATAACATCTAAACTAGTATCTAAAATATCCCTCTATTTTTTTTGCAAGCAGCACATCTTTTTTGAATTGATTTTACACGATTGTTGCAAATTTCGTTTGGAACTCTTTTCCAAATGGTATCTAGTAAAGCTTTAGGCTATTTATGGATCGTATATACCTTGGCTAATTCTTTTTCCATCCCAGCCCAAATAGATACGATTGGATTCAAATTTGGTAATCGAACTAGCCAGGCTAATAAATCTACTTTAATTTCTTTCACCCATGCTTTTACGCCAAATCTTGTTGAAATTGCTACCATTTGTTTCAATCAATCCGCATGTCCACTGATAGAACCTTGCAGTTCTCTAGCGTCTCTATATATATATGTTGGTTGATTTGATCTGTATAAATGTTACACACCCTTATTTAGTTTAAATCAAAACAGTCCCAAACACCAACACCCCCGCCGCCACTTTTCAACCTCCGTAAAACAAAGCGGTTACTTTTCCGATTGAAATCTTTTGACAAGAACTTTACTTTTTCTATTTATTACTTCAAAGTTACTTTCATCACTAAAAATTACTTGCTTCCACTTCTTCAAAGACCACCCAACTCTCTCCATCCAACACCCTAATTTTGTGAGCCGATTTCTAGCCGTCAACATAGGTTTTCTAACAGCTCATAGACACTAATTTTTTTCTTTAGTAAAATATTTTTAACTGTATTTGACGAAATACGTTTTTCACAGTTATCGTTAAATGCGTTGGTGAGTTCACCATAACTTAACCTTGATGAAATATAAGACTATTTTCACGCTCAGTAGTTTTTTTTTAACCCTCCTGATCCTGTATGACGTTGGATCCCACCTGTTGTTTTAAATATCTTTAGAGAATATCTGACGCGATATCTCTGAAATTTTGTATTATATTTTTTCATATCTTTTAAATTTTGTATTTTCTTGCTATTTCTTTTGAGCCATCCTTCATACCTATTATTTGCTACTTTATTGCTTCGCTTACTGTTCGACTCATTTCTATGTATTTACTTATTATTATTTATATTTTATTTACTTTAAGGTCTTATCTAGAAATCTTAATATAAAAAAGTAGAACGGAAATCAATTAAATGTTTGTACATCTATTTTTTTTTAACTATCTTTTCCGGTATGTTTTCTGAGTCAATTTGAGAAAAGTAAATTATTAAAAAAAAAAAAGTAAATATGAACTTGTTTTTTAGGTTTATTAGTCTTTAGGAAATATGGGTGGGATTTTACGATGTTTTGAAAAAGAAAATGTACTCAATTTTTACTGCGCCTGTTTTTTTTTGAAAGCACTGTATAATAACTATAATAATATAACTATAATACTATAACATATAATAATAAAAAATAAAATACTAAAAAAAAAATACTATAATAATATAACTTATATACTATAACATATAATAATAAAAAATAAAATACTAAAAAAATACAGCTGTCAATTACAATGAAACTAATTATAAGAATAAAAATAATTCCAAGTTGTTTTTGTAAAGAAACACGGATGTATTAGAAATTCAAAGTTGTGTTAAAAATTTCTCAGTGCTCCCACTGATTCTCCAATCAACTTAAATTTAATTTAAAAAATTAAAATACAATTTTGTACTAAAATCTTTTAATACTTTTTTTTTGTTTTTATCTATTTATTTCATGTTGATTAGTTATCTCTCAAAAATAAAAAAAATTCTAATAGGATGCGTTTATTGACTACCAATGAGTACAAAAACTTCGTTATGCGACCTCGACTACGTCATGAGTATAACAACTTCGTTTTGCTATCTATTAATGCCTCAGGAACAAGTATTTATCAGAAAGAACACAGCAATACTACTGAGGATATCAACTATAATACGATATATTAGTCTAACAATGATTGTCCTTTTTCAGCGATTGATAACGAATTTCAGACAAATTTATTGTATGTCTTGAAAAATGTTTTCTATTACAATGTAAGCCAACATTTCAAAAAAAAAAGAAGTTAAGAATCAACTAATATTCTAAATAAATAAATTGCTTAGCTTTACGTGAATTATATTTGAGGGAGTTTGCTTAAATTTTTGTTCACGTAGAGCTGAACAATTACTCTAAAAACGCTGAGTAAAAGCATTTGCTTTTTTTTTATTCACCCAGCCATATGATTTATCCTAACAATTAGTAATCAAAATAAGAAGAAACGAACAAAAAAAAGAATTAATTTGAAACTCCTGAACTAAAACATAAAATAAAAACAAAAATAAAATATGGTTTTCCAATAAACATAATGGCTGGGATGACAAACTAACCAAACTAAATATATAATTAATCAATAACTGGAAAAATTGAATGATATCAAGTACAATATAAAACAATTAAAAAGTAGTATAGCTAGCAAATTTAAATCAAATCATTAATTGCTTTATAAATATGTCAATGAGAAGAAATCAGTAAAATGAAAATGGCGAAATTTATATATATATATGCGCACTTTATTCGCATGCTTAAAGTTGATTTTTGTCGAAATAAACTCTTACCTCGTTTATTTCGACAAAAAAAGTTTCAATTAAACACCTTCTTTAAAAAAAGAAAATCGTCTTTTTAGATGCGCAGATTAACTTTATTGGTTACTCAAACACTTAACATATCTCTAACATAGATGGCAATTGCGTGACATTTCTTGCGCAAAATTCAAAGCTTACAAAATAAAATTTCCATCATTCATCAAGATTTACAAAGCAAAAGACGACCAGAAAAACGTGTCATGGGAAGGTAAGTATGTCAAATCTGACCGCTTAATACAAAACAATCTCAATTTTTTCAATCTCGGCGTATATATTTATAGCAAAAAAAATAAATATATAAAAAAAGACTCAATTGTTAAAATAAAAAAATTTAAAGTTTTTGCTAGCAACAGGCTATTTTATTTCTTTATTTAGTTTCAGATTTAATTTTTTTTTAGATCATCCGCAGCTTATTAGGACTAATTACCTGAACACATTAATAACATAAATATCTTGACATATGCGCAACAAATTTCTACCGGTGTTTTGATGTTTTTTGAAATTTTAAGCTTTTTTAAAAAATCTCTCTTTCGATTTTTACAGCGTATAATATTGTTACATGTTATGTACATAATATCTATATAACTTTCACAAGTGTTTTATTTTTTTATTGTAGAAAAATAAAAAAAAATTCGAAAAAAAAAAGTCTCCAGTGGTAAGATTCGAACCACAGCGTTTCAACCCTCGGAATTAGGGTCAGCATTCGGCAATGCCGACCTAACTGCCGACCTAAATGTGTTTGAGGTCGGCAAAATATTACCGACCTCGTTTCTATGTTTTATGGTAAGACCTTTGCATCAACTTATTTTTGCCGACCTGATGGCGACCTCTAAAAGATTGAGGTCGGCAAATTAATGCCGACCTCATTTTTCCTAACTCCGAGGGTTGGCTGCCAAGAGTTCTGTGTCAAACACGCTGGAAAGATATATAAAGATGTGGAAAAGAAAAGTCCAATTGCAAATGAAATTAGTTTTTACATGAAAATGTTTGCTTAAATTAGACAGCAAACTCTTCTAAATTGTGTTCAGAAAATGCAAAACACTATCCTAATAGAGCTAAATAGTTTGCAGTATTCAAATATTATATTATATTAGAATTCCGAATAGTAAAAAAAGCAGGCGAATAGACCAAATACTAAATATTCACCGAATACTCGTGGCATTTTTTTTAAATTTGTAAACATTTTGCTTATTTCTTTATACAAATAAGTAAAATATTTACAAAATATAAAAAGATGTTTAGATGTTATAATATAAAAGATCAGATAAATTCATTAGCGTTATAAGCATATTTGCTTTTACTATTTGTAAACAATTTTGATTTCATAAATAATCAAAAACAATTTGTATATTTTTATGTGCCAATCTAAAAGAATTACCTTGAACCATTTGATGCAAACCGCTTAAAACACTTGGAGAAACCTAAATTAAATCAATCAAATAATATATTATATTTTTTCATCATCATCATCATCATCATCATCATCATCATCATCATCATCATCATCATCATCATCATCATCATCATCATCATCATCATCATCATCATCATCATCATCATCATCATCATCATCATCATCATCATCATCTTTTCTCTGCTCCAAATAATTAAGGGATAGCCGTACTGCCAATATATAAAGATACAGTAAATAGGGATAAACGATACTAAAGAGCCATAAAAAAAAGTTAAGCATAAAACTTACTTTATTTTCTCGCAACAAGTCATACAAGATATCCAATTTTCTATTAACATCTTCTATTTTTCGTTTTGTTTGCTTAAATGATCAATTTAAATGTAAATAAAACTTAAATACTGTCTAAAAGGATCATGAAAAACGGAGACAAGTATTTTATTTCATAGCAAGAAACCTTAGAAAATGAGTTTAAAGTTATTTTATTTCATCAAAAATATTTTTTTATCAAAATATAGACAAAATACAGTATACTAAAGTTCAATGCTGATTTAAAAAAATTAAAATAAATAAATTCTATAATTTTAGTTTAAAGCTGATATAAGACTTTTTTATGTTGTCATCTCTTAATTAATATATATATATATATATATATATATA